TCAGCAAAAATGCATGAACAAAATATACCCTAAAGGAAATCATTACAGTCTAGAATTTATATCAATATCACCTAATAATATTTTTTGATCTTTTCTATAATTATGCTTACAAGAGAATGTAACGTGACATTTTAGTTATGTACCTTTGAATAGGGCATAAAGCGGATTTTTAATCCATTTTCACTACTTGCTGACGTTTTTTTGCTCTGCAAAAAAACGAAGTGCGGACAACCATTTGGAAGTTCAATTTAAAGCAAAACCAGCGATACAAAAGCTTAATTTTGAGGGATCTTCATTACTCTTTAGAAGTAAATCTCTACATTAATTTGAATTTACACTTAATCGGATTTTGATCAAGCTATTTTTGACAAAGAAATAGCTTCATAACTCTCTTCAAAAAAGAAACATGTTGCGATTGATGATGCAAGTTTTAAAATTATCGCTTCATGCCCCGTTTACTTTTTTTACATCTCATTGGTATGAATGGCTATTTTAGCTTACGTACTGCTTACTTGTTATACAGCAAAATATCGGGGATCCATATCTGATCTGAAGGTATATGTAGCTTTCTGATGCCACCCCATCGTGCAGGATCCCAAGAAAGTTTGTAGTCAAACCATTGCATTTCCAGCCATAAATTTGTCGTCAAAACCTGATTCACTTCATCCTAAACATAAACATGTTTCGAACATTAACATTTAGCTATATAACATCTCATCTCACTTCCAAGACATATGTACTAAACTCGGGTCTGACAAAAGTAAAGTTTAGGATATTTCAGGGTATTGCCGTAAATACTGTAATAATGCCGAGGTTCAAACAAGAGAGGACGTGCAAATTAGTGAATCTAAGACTTACCACATCAATAATTCGTATAAGTGAAGCACCAAATTTCACTTTAATGCTTTCACTAGCATTTTTAACCGGTCGCACATTTTTGTTATAGTAATAGAGTAAATCCTCATACAGTTGCTCAGCGTATCGATTCGATTCAACAACATAGAAGATGGCAAGTGACAAACCTAAACAAGCAAACATAGCATGCAAGAGGTGCCTATTTTTTCTTTCTTGTTTTTGTTTGTCTTCCTTTCATTATTTTTCGAAATCAGGGCGAAAGACAGTTATTAAAAAGGAAAAATGGTCTTTTCACGAAGATGTTTTTGAACAAAAGTGGAAGAAAAGCAGGCAATTAATTAGATCCCAAGTTCGAAGTCCCTGATAAGCATAGTTTTGGTTTTCCAACAACTGAGTAACAATTAGTATCGTAATTTTCGAAGGCATATTATTCTAGTATGTGAATAATGAAATGAATTGGTACTAATCTGTCTTGGGT